ATGAGCCTAAAATGAGCTAGAGGAGTTGGACAGGCGTATTCCCCTTCCACAAAATAAACAGTGCCCCGCCCCTCCAGCCACCCAGTTTGTTTCCACACCTTGGCCCCCCAACTCAACTCTCGGCAGGGTAGCTCCTTTCCTTCAGTCCTCATGGCCAATGCCAACACCTTCGGGGGGACATACACTCCACCAGCACCTCCCAAAGCTGCTAGCTCTTCCCAGACCCAAGTCTGGAGCCCGTGTGGACGTGCTGACACCTCGTCCGTCTCCCTTACCTGAACACCAGGCCAGAGCCTCCTCTATCAGCACCCCCTTGGCCAACTGTGTCCGCCTCAAATGTGCAGGTGTCCCAGAAATACTTAGTGGAGAGGGGACGGTCAGTGGGCACCCAGGTCTGCAGGCAGAACAGGACACAGGCCGTTTCCGCAGGGAATGGCCCACCCGTGGTTCGGTGTCTACGGAACATTATGATTCTAGGGAATAAAGCCCGTGAATGTTCTTGTCTTTTCTTTCTTTGTTCATGAAGTGTTAGAGACTCTGTCCCTGTGCCTCACTGGGGGCTACCCGGAGGGTCTCAACCTCAGGTGAGCACGACCTCAGCTCGAGAGACATCTGTTAACTGTCTCCAGGGACAGGAGTTACACCCAGCGCCGCATTCACTGTCCTCATCGGGTGGTAAGCGACCACCCACTGCCACACTGGTCACTGTCCTTAAATCCCTGGGGTGCCTGGGGGGATCCATGCTGATTAGAAATGCTCCATCCTGCCAGCACACTGCCTGGAGATGCCAGGCGGCTGCTGCCTCAGCCACGGCCCGCACGCAGACGGGGGTCACTGAGCAGCTAGTGTTTTCGTGTGTGCTCACCCCTCCGGATTCCCCAGAGCACCATGTAATATTGAGGCCTTACTGTGCTCTACCCTTTGGAGTAAGCACTTAGCACTGCATTTAACCCTCTCCACAAGCCCGTGTTCGCTATTCTCATTGGAAGGGGGAAACTGAGGCTTGAAGGGGTGGGCAGCTCTGCGCTGGGGTGAGGAGCCCGGAGCCACCCAGCTGCTGCTCCGTGAGGCGCCCACTCCACCAGGCCCCTGAGCGCTGTCTGCGGCACCGCACCCAGCGCAGCCCACTCGGACACCCCTTCTTCAGTCTGTCTCTGAGCAAAGAGGAGGTGGCGTGTGAGGGGCAGGCCCTGAAGCCATTATGTTCCCTGAGCCCAGGGGACCCCCACCACCGAGTCATTCAGCCCCCCAAGCAGCCCTGTGACGGCACAGGCCAAGCAGGACACAGCCCCTGTCCTCGCAGGGGTCGGGAAGCCCATGAAGGCCGGGGAGAGTCTTCCCCCTGCACCACACGTCTCTGCTGAGGTAGTGGGTGGGTGAATGAATGCAAACACTAAGGAAACTATTCCATAGAAACCCAGAATGAAAAAAGTTTCTTAAAAAAAAAAAAGGAGCCCACAGGTAATGATGCATAACACTGATGCAGCCTTAGATGAATTAGCCTCATGTACATGCTCATTCTGCAGAAGCAATGAGGTGTCAGCAGTTTCAGAATCAGTGTTCTCTTACTGTTTCCCTGGTGAGAAACACTGTCTGCTCTGCATTAGAAGTATAGCGAGAATCACCCTTAGTAGAACCATATGATTTTAATGCACAGATGATTTTCAATTAGACATTTATCTAACCACGCTGATGTGTTTTAAATTTAACCCTAAATTACAGTCTTTTCAAATAACTCTGCTCTCCCCTCTGCTTCTCTCTTCAATTTTGGTTTGGTTTTGTGAAAGGTCTGCTGGTAAAAATGAAGCAATACCAGTAACTTATCTACAAATTACGGGAAGGAGAAAGTAGGTTAAAAAAGACCAAGAAACTTAAAACAAGTCTGATCAAACCACATCCGAGTCAGGCAGGAAATAACAGGAGACTGCTCTTGCTCAGAGGGAAGAAGGTAAGCCTTCCCAGGCCTGCTGCCAGCAGGCCAGGAGGCCACTTCCACGTTCCCAGATCCCCATGGGCGTCCGAACACGAGCTGGGCGTGGCTACGGCGAAGGCAAGAGCCGAAGTGGAGAGGGCACTTCTACCTGGGCTGGCACCCCGCCACACTCGGGGGTCTGTTTCCAGCACAGGTAGCTGCGGCCTGGGCAGTGAGCACAGGGAGGCAGGACTTCACCCCAGGGGAGGCCGCGGGGCCCAGGCACAGATGATCTCCCCGACAGTCCTCTGACGAGAGGCTCCGCTGGCGTGGGCAGCCTGAGCTGAGAGGTGGCCAGCAACGCTCTGCTATTTGCTTCTGTCAACCTGCAAGTGCGGCTGTCAGTTTCCTGCGTGTGACACTGTACTGCATTTGCAGGATGTGACTGTGGGGCCGGCAGGGAAAGGGCGCAGGGCTGGCGATGGTTTCTCACCACCACACACCAATCAAATTCAGTGAAAAACACGGGCAAACTGCAGTGTCCCGAGGCTCCGGGGGGGGGGGAGGGGCCTCTCGTGGCACCAAGCAGCAAATGTCTCACAGGAGGACATTCTGTTCTGTGATGGCCTGGGGTCCGGAAACCCCGGTGACAGAGGACCGTGTAAATGGCATCCAAGTCGGTGGAGGCTGGGTGGGGACCGGGATCTTTGTTGTGTGTGGGAAGGCG